AAAGTATTTTCCAACCGTAAATAACTCTCCTGAAGAGTAGCGACACTGTCGGCTAAACTGGACACCATACGATATAAATGGCTGTTGCTGTCAGTATTATTTCCCGAGTTACTATGGGCGCCGCCATCTTGTGTGCCGCCATCTTGGCCCGTTGAACTATGGGATCGCGCACCTGCTCCAGTGATGCTTTGCACACGACCCGTAGAATTTATAGCGTCTCTCAATTTTTTTGCGAGAACCATGCGCTTGTCACTTGTTTTGAATACGATTCCTCGGGATTTAAGTTCTTTTCTTAAACGTGAAAGCATCCAGTTTTCCAAAAGTTCGGGATCGTATGGCGCAGCTCTACGAGAAGAGCGTTTAGGCCCCATATTGCACAAACAAAATACAAATCTTAGGCCTAATATAGCTCAAACACCCACGCAAAAGTCACGGCCTATTTCACATACGCAAGTATGTAAACACACATGAACGGTTTCCGTTGGTATGAGTCAACACATAATAAAGTAGCGAAGAGGCGAAATACGAAACTTGAGCACACAAAGGTTGGTTCGTAGGACAGCAAAGCCAGTGTGGTTCTTAGTACAGAGTCCGAGTAACACACATTTGGGATCGAACAAACACACACGAACGGTATAAACGCAGATAGGTGAAATGTAAGTCCGTATCAAAGTAAAAGTTCGAAAAACGACGATTGAGACACAATCACATTGAAATACCGTAATTAGAACAATTCATCGTAAGTTCTGTGATGAGGTAGGTCCAAGCAAACTTCGTGTCGTCGAGAATAATGGCGCCAAGGCCTATTTCATTCCTTGAAAGTTACACTTTAAGACACAGTGAGTATCGACGATTATAATTCTAGTGTCAGTATGCAAAACACCTCAGATTATGATGATTAGTGTCAGTATACAAAACACCTCAGTAACGTTGTCAACGTAACTCTTAAAGAGTAGAATAATTGAAGATATAAGCGACAAACAAACACCACCATTCATCAGAAAAACAATACTGAAGTCTGAAAACTGCAATACCGCATACCCCTCTAGGGGTAAATGGTGATTGGTCAATAATCCCCAAAATCCCCTAATTAGCATATAAATGTAAACCTAGCTTCATTAGATAGACTTACACAGGCCCTGGCAAAAACAAACCCCTCAAGAATTAAACAGATACAAATGAAAAAATAGGCACAAGATGTGTAAAGCCAAGAAAACAAGGAAAATAAACTAAAACAAAATATATATCAGTAAGATTAAAATGATGAAAGGTACAAAATAAAGTTGTATATAAACTATAATTTAACATAAGTTAAATTATCATTTTGTAAAACCCTGAGATGTATCAAGTTCTCATTTATGTTACAAAGACCTGCATTCAGGAAATCTCTGATCTTTTTCTCTTTTTGTTTTACAGTCTGGTTAAGGTTGGCGATATGAATTTCTGGTAAATGCTTTCATTAAAAAGGAAGTTTTTAAAAACAATTTGTAGACAAAGCTATTTGTATTACACAGATCTGTTTGAGGATATCCCTGATTTGTTTTACTTCTTTCTTCACACAAAGTGTCCTTGATTTTATCTCCTTTGTCCTTAACAACCAAATTGTGACCTTCATTAAGGTTACCCTGGATATTTTTCCCCTGTTCTTTCACAAGGAAATAAATAATGGTTTAATAAACAAGGTTTAATAATCATGTCACAATTTTCTTGTAGAGATTTTAATGCTTCTTGTACTCTTCCATTAAGTTATTTCTGGTGCTAGTAGGGTTGCTGCCTGCCAAGACAAGTGGCAATGATATTTGTAAAACCCTGAGCTGTATCAAGTTCTCATTTATGTTACAAAGACCTGCATTCAGGAAATCTCTGATCTTTTTCTCTTTTTGTTTTACAGCCTGGTTAAGGTTGGTGATATGAATTTCTGGTAAATACTTTCATTAAAAAGGAAGTTTTTAAAAACAATTTGTTAACAAAACTATTTGTATTACACAGACCTGCATTGAGGATATCTTTGATAATTTTTTCTTTTTATTCCATAACAGGCAGATTGTGGTTTTGGTTAAAAAATATCACACTTTCTTTAGAAAGCTGAAAGGAACCAAAACTTAAAAAAAAAAATTAAATTAATTGAGACTTACCTATCAACTGAAATTTGTACATTATTGTAGTTCTGTCTTTTCTCCTGGTGGTGCAATCTGTTTGAGGATATCCCTGATTTGTTTTACTTCTTTCTTCACACAAAGTGTCCTTGATTTTACCTCCTTTGTCCTTAACAACCAAATTGTGACCTTCATTAAGGATACCCTGGATATTTTTTTCCTGTTCTTCCATGACAGGCAGATTGTGGTTTTGGTTAAAAAATATCACACTTTCTTTAGAAAGCTGTAATGAACCAAAACTTTAAAAAAAATAATAAAATTAATTGAGACTTACCTGTCATCTGAAATTTGTACATTATTATAGTTCTGTCTTTTCTCCTGGTGGTGCAATCTGTTTGAGGATAACCCTGATTTATTTTTCTTCACACAAAGTGTCCTTGATTTTATCTCCTTTGTCCTTAACAACCAAATTGTGACATTCATTAAGGCTACCCTGGATATTTTTTTCTTGTTCTTTCACAACCAAATAAATAATGGTTTAATAAATAAGGTTTAATAATAATGTCACAATTTTCTTGTAGAGATTTTAATGCTGCTTGTACTTTTCCACTTAAATCATTTCTGGTGCTAGTAGGGCTGCTGCCCTCAAAGACAATTGGTGATGGTATTTGTAAAACCCTGAGCTGTATCGAGTTCCCATTTGTGTTACAAAGACCTGCTTTTACGATCAAAGACCTGCTTTTAGGATATCTGATTTTTCTCTCCTTGTTTTACAGCCTAGTTAAGGTTGGTGATATGAATTTCTGGTAAGTGCTTTCATTAAAAAGGAAGTTTTTAAAAACAATTTGTAGACAAAGCTATTTGTATTACACAGATCTGTTTGAGGATATCCCTGATTTGTTTTACTTCTTTCTTCACACAAAGTGTCCTTGATTTTATCTCCTTTGTCCTTAACAACCAAATTGTGACCTTCATTAAGGTTACCCTGGATATTTTTCCCCTGTTCTTTCACAAGGAAATAAATAATGGTTTAATAAACAAGGTTTAATAATAATGTCACAATTTTCTTGTAGAGATTTTAATGCTTCTTGTACTCTTCCATTAAGTTATTTCTGGTGCTAGTAGGGTTGCTGCCTGCCAAGACAAGTGGCAATGATATTTGTAAAACCCTGAGCTGTATCAAGTTCTCATTTATGTTACAAAGACCTGCATTCAGGAAATCTCTGATCTTTTTCTCTTTTTGTTTTACAGCCTGGTTAAGGTTGGTGATATGAATTTCTGGTAAATACTTTCATTAAAAAGGAAGTTTTTAAAAACAATTTGTTGACAAAACTATTTGTATTACACAGACCTGCATTGAGGATATCTTTGATAATTTTTTCTTTTTATTCCATAACAGGCAGATTGTGGTTTTGGTTAAAAAATATCACACTTTCTTTAGAAAGCTGAAAGGAACCAAAACTTAAAAAAAAAAAAAAATTAAATTAATTGAGACTTACCTATCAACTGAAATTTGTACATTATTGTAGTTCTGTCTTTTCTCCTGGTGGTGCAATCTGTTTGAGGATATCCCTGATTTGTTTTACTTCTTTCTTCACACAAAGTGTCCTTGATTTTATCTCCTTTGTCCTTAACAACCAAATTGTGACCTTCATTAAGGATACCCTGGATATTTTTTTCCTGTTCTTCCATGACAGGCAGATTGTGGTTTTGGTTAAAAAATATCACACTTTCTTTAGAAAGCTGTAATGAACCAAAACTTTAAAAAAAATACTAAAATTAATTGAGACTTACCTGTCATCTGAAATTTGTACATTATTATAGTTCTGTCTTTTCTCCTGGTGGTGCAATCTGTTTGAGGATAACCCTGATTTATTTTTCTTCACACAAAGTGTCCTTGATTTTATCTCCTTTGTCCTTAACAACCAAATTGTGACATTCATTAAGGCTACCCTGGATATTTTTTTCTTGTTCTTTCACAACCAAATAAATAATGGTTTAATAAATAAGGTTTAATAATAATGTCACAATTTTCTTGTAGAGATTTTAATGCTGCTTGTACTTTTCCACTTAAATCATTTCTGGTGCTAGTAGGGCTGCTGCCCTCAAAGACAATTGGTGATGGTATTTGTAAAACCCTGAGCTGTATCGAGTTCCCATTTGTGTTACAAAGACCTGCTTTTACGATCGAAGACCTGCTTTTAGGATATCTGATTTTTCTCTCCTTGTTTTACAGCCTGGTTAAGGTTGGTGATATGAATTTCTGGTAAGTGCTTTCATTAAAAAGGAAGCTTTTAAAAGCAATTTGTAGACAAAGCTATTTGTATTACACAGATCTGTTTGAGGATATCCCTGATTTGTTTTACTTCTTTCTTCACACAAAGTGTCCTTGATTTGATCTCCTTTGTCCTTAACAACCAAATTGTGACCTTCATTAAGGTTACCCTGGATATTTTTTCCCTGTTCTTTCACAACGAAATAAATAATGGTTTAATAAACAAGGTTTAATAATAATGTCACGATTTTCTTGTAGAGATTTTAATGCTGCTTGTACTTTTCCACTTAAATCATTTCTGGTGCTATAAAACCGTAGGAGAATCAATCGCAACAAGAACAAGTGTCACCAGTTAGTGGGTAATTTTTACTAATTGTGTACTTGTTTCGCCTCTATTCGAAGCTTCATCAGGACAATTTTTTGTACATTTTAGCCCCCTGAAGTACTTTTTTCGGGGTTCAGAATTGAATATGACGTATTTACATTGACAATAGAGTAAGGGCAGATAAGCCCTAAAGTTGATGTTATACTTTGCCAAATTATGGTATTATTGAAGTTCATGAAGTATGCAAATAACTAATTAAAGTCCAATCAAAATAATAATAATAATGAAAAGCGTTTGTTGTTCATCATGGGTAGGCTAGTTCGTCCAGGCAAATGGTGGCATCTGATGTTGAGGCATAGGCCAGCTTCTTATAATCCACTAAGGGTCCAGGTAATTCTGTGGAGCTGATACTCTTGACGGAAGAGTTGTTGGAAGACGAGTCACTCAACAACAGGTCTCCCTTCAGTAGGTCAATGGGAATCTTATCTTCTGTTTGAGCTGGTTTTTGAGTATGCGGCCCTGGGGGATTCCTCTCCTTGGCCGGTACTACCCTGAATTTGGCCTTCTCTAGTTGTTGTTTAGTAAGTGTTTCTAATGGTCTTTTCCATTTGTCCGGAATGGTCGCTTCATTCCTGACCTCATCTGTGAAGACTTCGGGTTCAATGCGGTAAAAAGGGTGTTTTTCTTTTAAATAGCGGTCATAGAGATATCTTCTTCCAAAGGTGTGTTTACAGATTTTGCAGTGAAATCTAGTGTTACTGTTCATGCTATGTATTCTGCTGACATGCCTCCGTAATGAACTTAAGTTCGCTAGTCTCTTACCACATAGGATGCACGGCATCTTGATATTCCCTGCATCCTTTCGGTGGTGTTTAGTAGGTGTGGACTTGGTCTTCAGCATATTTATGAAATGATGTTCATACCCCACGGTTTACGTGTGCGTAGAATATGAATCCAACTCTCCTCTGTTCGTAAACGGTTGTTTGACTTACCTATCAACTGAAATTTGTACATTATTGTAGTTCTGTCTTTTCTCCTGGTGATGCAATCTGTTTTTTAGGATATCCCTGATTTGTTTTACTTCTTTCTTAACACAAAGTTTTTTTGATTTTATCTTCTTCCTTTACAACCAAATTGTGATCTTCATTAAGGATACCCTGGATATTATTTTCTCGTTCTTCCATGACAGGCAGATTATGGTTTTAGTTAAAAAATATCACACTTTTGTTAGAAAGCTGCTACCCACAAAGACAAGTGGTGATGGTATTTGTAAAACCCTGAGCTGTATTGTGTTCCCATTTGTGTTTACAAAGACCTGCTTTTACGATCAAAGACCTGCTTTTAGGATATCTGTGATTTTTCTCTCGTCTTGTTTTACAGCCTGGTTAAGATTGGTGATATGATTTTCTGGTAAATGCTTAAGAAAGAAGGAAATTTTTAAAAACAATTTGTAGACAAAGCTATTTGTATTACAAAGGCCTGCTTATATGAACAAATTATGCTGAGGCACATTGACAGGAATCTTAACAGTTTATTACATTATAATAATATGGGCTACAGGGTTATAACAGCTGTAGTGCTTGCCAAAACTTAAGTATTAACTGGCCAACAAGGCTGGGTGAGCACCATTTTTACAAACTTTGCAAGCATGACCATACATACATTTGGCATGGAAACTCTTGCCATTGTTGAAGTTGATACAAAGTTCAATACCTTCCGCTGCAACCCTTCACCTTCCATATCTATCTTGTAACTATCCCTTTAATGAATGATGTTCCTCTCTGATGACATTTGGCTGAAAAGCTGATTGTGGCTTATGTGGCAACTGTAGAATACCTTGACAGAAAGCAGCCGTGTGGGTACCAGCTCCACAAGAACAGGCATTAGTTTTGGCTCCTGCCATTAGCATGGTTAGCAGATAATTGTCTCTGATAGCCCAGTTTACTTTTGTGTTTAAGCACTGTAATGTGTGAGCATTCCTACCAGAGAACAACTTATGATAGTCATAGAATCTATCTCTGTATAGATTATGGATCTCAACAATAATTTCTTCGTATCTGTCAAGTTCCTGTCGTCAGTGAGGATACCGTGAACACATAATTCTTTTATGCTTTCCAGCACACATGACCTTTTTAAACACTCCGAAAGCCAGAATGAATTCGCTTAGCGTTAAGGTTCTATTGAGTTGAGCATCTGGTTTTTTGTTGGCATGCTGGCAACTCTGGTCATTTTGACCATTAAAGTATGGAATGAGAATGGCCGCTAAATTGACATCTTTCCCAAAGATGATTTACTGTCGTAAGGAGGGAGAAACAGTCTCTACGAAAGGCAATGATTCAGAGGCATGCCCGTAACGGGTTTTGTTTTGATGTAGACTGCTCACTTGAAAAGTTAGAACGATTTCCTTCTTCCTGAAATCTTTGGTAGGCAGTATCAAGAGTAAAGTCTTCTGTGGGTGAAGTTGACGATCCCTGCGGCAATGATGAAGAAACAATGTCCCTGGTCCATCTAACTATAGGATCATTGTTTACATTGGTTAACAGGGTAGTGTCTGTAGGCATGTCATTTGAACTGTCAGCAGTGGCAGCAGGCATACATGTCCTTTGAGATCGAGTAATTTCTCTCACACTATTTTCTAAACTCAAATAACAGTTTTGTAATGTGTTGCCACTATCCGCCAGGCTGGAAATCATGGCAACTAAGTTTGGAGTAGAGGCAGTCAGCTCCAAACTTCTTGCCTGTCGGCCATCTTGCTGATCGCACACCTCTCGGGGCCGCTTGTGCCTCTCTCAATTTCATGACTAATTCCATACGTTAAGAACCAGATCTGAATGGCACATTCCTCTTATTAAGTTCTCCTTTCAGTCTAGCAATAGTCCAGTTTTCCAATAACTCAGGATCGTAGGGTACAGGCCTAGACGCGTTCCTTCCACGTTTAGAAGCCATGGTTGAGCACACAAACTATGACAATCACTATGAACCCTGGAAACGGAAGTTTTGTCAGTAAATCACACACGTACACCTTTGAGTTGAGATGTGGACTTTTACAAGACGTCTATATGACAAAATCACATATTGAAAGTACAAGGTTTTAATAAAACGCAAACCGCACAAATGATACGTGACGAACCCTTCAGAACCGGTGAAAGTGTCCTCAAAGTAAAACAAAATGGCAATCAGTTGGAATTTGGGTATGGAATATAAAGCTCACAAGCCACTGAAGCCAGCAAAAGTCCTTCGAATTGAGGAAGGATCGTAACCTCCCAGCAGGAAAGATCACAATGTCATGATAAGTCCAAAGGTTAGCACACACTGATTAATATTGGGGAAGTAATCGAATAATACAACCTATAAAAAGTCAGAACGTCCTCTTTCTCATCATCCGCTGAAACTGAATGCCTAGCAATACGGACACCCCTCTAGGGCACAATGCTGATTGGTCAAAACTAGTAAGACACACTAATTAGCATACCGATAAACATACTCCAAGAACTACACATAACTTCCTTGCCTCATATAAAAATTTGCATTCAGGGCTGTCTCCGCTGCTTTATGTGATAACCAGATGTATGAATGAAGATGAGTATGATTCCTACATGCAGGCGAGTCCTAGTCCGAAATAGGAAAAGGTGGTCCTGGTTGTAGGTATGAGAAGTATAAATGAAAATTTTGAACACTGGTTGATCGAGAATGAAGGTTTAAACTATTAAATAAAACATGACAAATTTGAAAATGAGTAAAATCAGCTTGTTGCCAGGCGAAGGAGTCCTGTACAACGAAGACTGCTAAAATAGTACACAGTCTAGGTAACATCGCCAGGCGAGGTCCTGAGTTTTACTGAAGAACCAGGCGAAAATGGTCCTGTACGGATGCACTATAACTGTACTATACGAAACTATGTATGTATAAAATGAATTGAAAAACCCGCGTCTTGGGGCTAATGGACCAAATTGATATGCGCAGAAATTTTCCTGCTCAATATATTGAGCTGCTTTGGCAGAAAACATACGATGGTATTCATTAAAAGCCTTAGGAGCATGTGTGTTGTTGAGTCTGATAATGATAGCCTCGTAACGGTCCAATTCGCCTCTCCGATTGGGGAACGATTCGGTGACCACTCACTTATAAATACCAAAAGCGGTAATGAATTCCGATATTGATAGCCCTGAATAGTATTTGCTCCCTCGGCGGCCCTGGGAATTACTGTCTGTCTGCGTTAGGGGCTCAGAACCAGGGGTGAGTAGCAAGGAAAAGTTGACATCCTTACCTTGAACTATCCGTTTCCTCATAGCCGGTGAAACAATGTCGATTTGTGGCAGGACATCACCTGGTATCCCATCGTGATCTGCGTAATAAGGAAGGGTTTCCAGGGTAGTACCAGACGTCCTGGCATCGCCAACACTGCTCCTTATTTGGTTTAGATTAGAATATGCCGTTGACAAATCGAATGCCGACTCTGTAGGCTTAGACTGTGAAGCCTTGATGGCTTTGAATGTCATTTCCATTAATGCAAGCGTCCGGTCAAGAAGAGTGTCTGCCCTTGGTTGTATCACTTCCGGTAAATGGCTACGCGAATCAGTACAAGGTGGAGAGGTCGGAAGGCACGAGCTGGCCTGTTCATGCCTAACATCGCCCAACGAAACTGAGGGTTCCGCTGCATAATGTAGATCCTCTTGTGGGGGTAGGTTAACGAGTCTACGAGCCGTGACACTAGGCTGTTCATTTGCCGGCGTGTTGGAATGGACTGTCGGCATGATGGATGAGGCATCATTGTGTGTTTCCAAACTGCTTTCAAGTCTCCGATAACACTGTTGTAGAGTTGCAACACTTTCTGCTAGACTTGAAACCATATCCATCAGCTTGTTAGTCGTTGTACCGTAACTCGATTTGTTTGCAGAACTTCCTGTGTCTGGGCACCTTGCATTTTGGTATACCACACCTCTAGACTGGTGTGCGACAGGGACACCGTTCCTTGCTTCCTGCAACTTTTTTACAAGCACCAAACACCTTGACAAACTTTTATAAGACACATCCAGATGTCTTAATTCTTCCTGCAGTCGGAAGAGTGTACAATTCTCCAGAATTTCTGGATCGTAAGGTATAGGCCTTGGTTACTAGGTTAGCCTGGTAGAAAGGAAGTGTGTTAAAACTCCAAGTCTGTGTGCCCAAACAGGCCTACACAAAATACATTACGCGATGAAATTGGACACTGACACCTCAGTGAAATATATGGTCATGTGCTTTGCAGATCTATCGAAGAGATAATCCAAATTATTTGAGGTAAATGATAACGCAAAATCTAGCTACTGTGAAATTCCGCACCTTAAAACAAAAAGTGAGGGGATCCGTCAAGGTTTCTTCTGATTGGATAAAACTCACATCCCCCAGACGCATTAGCATGAACATAGTAATTATAACCATACACATTACAGCTATCAAAGTGCAGGAAAGAAGATTAAAGAAAGTTGTATATAAACTATAATTAAGAAATTTTTCAAAAACAACTTGTAGACAAAGCTATTTGTATTACACAGATCTGTTTAAGGATATCCCTGATTTGTTTTTTCTTCCTCCTTCACACAGAGTGTCCTTGATTTTTATCTTCTTCTTCCTTAACAAATTGTGACCTTCATTAAGGATACCCTGGATATTTTTTTCCTGTTCTTCCATGACAGGCAGATTGTGGTTTTGGTTAAAAAATATCACACTTTCTTTAGAAAGCTGTAATGAACCAAAACTTTAAAAAAAAATAAAATCAATTGAGACTTACCTGTCAACTGAAATTTGTACATTATTGTAGTTCTGTCTTTTCTCCTGGTGGTGCAATCTGTTTGAGGATAACCCAGATTTATTTTTCTTCACACAAAGTGTCCTTGATTTTATCTCCTTTGTCCTTAACAA